TTTCGTCATGCTCGCTCAGACCAAGGAGGCCGATGTAGATCATCGGGGGGCTCGCATCATGAGCTCGTTGGCTCTAAGCGTAATCGAGCAGCAAAGGCTTCAGTTCCCCGCGGCTCTGGAGGAGGCCCATTTTCAGCACATCTATCTGGCCTATTGGCACACTCGTTTGCTGGCAGACATGTTCTCTCCAAAGACCAGGATGGACAACATCATGCATGATTGCGAAAATCTCATCCGATTGATGGCCAATCCTCCACAACCACCGGGCCCACTTTACGATCATTTCCGAATCCTGCTATCATTGATTCTCATCGAGCTTACCAAGATCAGCGAGACTCGCGACAGCGCGACCAAGATGATCAAGGACATGTTGGAGTGCGGCATCGTCTCCTCGCCTAGGAACGCGGCGCTCCGCGATAAGATTGCGGATACACTGCCGACGCAAACTCAAGGCAGAGAAGCAACCATGAACGATACGAGCGTCAAGAATTTACAACAACTCGCGGATGTAGCCACGGCCGCGGGACCGACCACGGCGCTCGAAGTATCTTTGCCGGCGCCATCAGCGAGTAACGAGGCGGCAATTGGCGATGTGGGCGGGCCTGCGCCTGTCTCCGTTGCGGCTCCTCCCCTGATGACCAGAACGGGGCAAGAAAAGCAGAGCGGTGGAGACCAAAAGGGGTTTGAAACGCTTCAGACGTTTTTGAGGGTTGGATACTTAACCTTTTCGGAGCGGGGAAGCATGGCAGGATAGTAGTTAATGTGTATATTATTATGTGACGATGAACGTTGGGAGGCCTGGCCTGGAGGTGATAGCGGAGGCGTCTTTCGACTAGTAGATACCCCTGATATAAAAGCGAGTTGTTTGGTATAATGTGCTGCGAGCTAGCATCTGGTGGAAATGTAGAGAGAGTATTTGCTGTTTGACTTTCAACCTCTCGGGATGTGCCCTCCGTGTTAGACAACCCTTAAGCTACGAGAGCATCAGACATGAAACGGCCGCAACGCCAGTTTCAGACGCCGGAGAGGCCCAGGTGAATAAGTAAAGAGCAAAAAGGATACGGAGATGAGGAAACCCCCTTTTCATTCGATACGACGAAGATCCAGCGGCATGTAAACAAACCAAGCAGGCGAACGGCCACAGCGCCGGCGGCGGTTATCCCAACCACACACACAGAGAGAAAGAGAGAAACGGAGCGTATGGAGGGTTCTGCGTCAATTAACCAGCGACTCGACCTTCACACCGACTTCGACGTGTGTAGACTCCTGGGGTCTTTTCAGGCCATCTCCCGAACGACCTCCCAAAACATCTCCTCATGTTCCTCCTTCTGACGTTCGCCGTTCTGAACCCGCCCGGCTGATCATTGAGTGAGCGATAACCACCTCGGCCTGTCGTCTAATTGTTTAGGTAGGCCGCGTCCTTTGTTTGTTCATGGAGGGGAATCTGCCTCGCCGTTCGATTCAACGTTCCCCGGCCAAATATCACAAGGACGATCACCTCACTTCAAACCCTTTGACATATCTCACATTCTCATAGTCGGACAAGAGTCATAACGCAATGGTTCTCAATTTAAACCTTTAGCCCGTAGGCCGTTTTGGACGCCCAGTATGCCCGGCTTCGCATGCTTGTTTGCCAGCTATGCCACCCGCCAACGCCGTCCCGTCCCAAGGCAAGGCCTTTTCCCATTTATAAAATGCGAATTTACAAATAATAATCCCACATTGTTCCGTACGCCCCGCTATCATGCTTGCCCGCCGAAACAAAACACAAATCCCGCCGTCGAGCCTAAGCTCTGACTCCCATTCCGGCCCCAATTCCTATCTCGGGCACGTACAGCGAGCCGAGCCGGGCGTCCAGCCAGCGCGCCAGCTCCTCCACCTGCCGGCGGAGGGCCAACACGCTGGCGGGGGACAGCCCGCCCGCCGCAGAGGTGCCCGCCGTTCCCTGGCTCGCCGTCGTGGCGGCCCCCGCAGTGCCTGAGCTGTGGACGCTGTCCACCTCCGACGGCGACGCCAGAGGGGACGTGCCGCCCATGTTTCCGGTGCCGGGCGCCGTGGCGCTACTACTTCCGCTGCCGGGGCCGAGGTCTTCGCCGGCGTTGTCGCTGGTCGCGGCGCTGGCGGCGGCGCTGGTCGATCCTCCGGCGGCCGAGGACGTGGCCGCGCCCTCCTCGCCGCCCATGCAGATGAAGAGCATTCCGCATTGGAGCTGTCGGATGACGAAGACGGCGCCGCTGTCGAGCTGGACGGTTACGGCTGGGGAGGGAACGGTGGTCGTGCTGCCGGACGGGGCGGGGGAGCTGCCGCTGCTGCTGCCTTCGGCGCCGTTGTGGGTCGCGCCGCCGGAAGGGGGAGGGCTGTGCATCGACCAGAGAGAAGCGGCGACGGCACACTGGCGGCGGAGGATGCTCGCGGGCAAGTTGCTAGCATGCACGAGGAGGTTTCCGGCGGGTGTGGTGAGAACGGCGGCGCGAAGGAGGTCGGAGAGATTGGCGCGCAAGAATGCGGTGACGCGCTTGGTAAGAAGGAGCGGAGGTGGAAGTGGCATCATGCCGGGCGCGGGAGGGACCATGTTGGGCGGTAGCGGCTCAACGAGGATGGTTACGTGAGAGGAGGAAGAATCGTCGGATCTGGTGCTGGGCGCGTGAGTGCTGGGCGCGTAAGTGCCGCGGGTCTGGGAATTCTCTAAATTGGTGGTGGTTCGGAAGAGATTGCGAAACCAGGTCAGAGGGTTGTAACCACGCGCGGGGGTGTCGTGGGCCTGGAGGTTCTCGGAAGTGAGCGGAGCAACTTCGAGTTCGTCGGCAGGAGCGAAGAATGGATTGCCCCAGAAGTCCAGCCAGTGGCGTCGGTACCAGGTGGTAGTCTCGACGGTCGTAGAACCGGTGGTCTCGACGACGGTCACGCGATTGGGCGGAGGAGCCTCGGGAGCGGCCTCGGGATTGGCGAGTTGAGAATCGGCGGTAACGTTGAAGAGATTGCCAAACCAAGTCAGAGGGTTCGTGTAGCGACGCTCGAAGGTGCCGTAGGTCTGGGGGTTGTCGGAATTGAGGGGAGCAGCTTCAGAAAAGGAGGCGGTGGTGAAGAGAGTGCCGATCAACGACTGCAGGTTGGAGCCCTGCGAGATGTTGCTGTTGGTGAAGCTCTCAGGATTGAGGAGAGGAGCTTCAAGGTCGTCGTCTGTGAGGTTGAAGAAATCGCCAAACCACGTCGTCACCGGGTGAAGGCAACCCTGCGCAGCGTTTTGGTCAGCGAGAGGTCAATTTCAAAGGCTCGTGACCTCGAATTGGAGATGGTTGGATGTTGGAGGGGAAGGTGCGCAGTGGCTATGGTTGCACCCCACAGCGGCATCTTATCGCTTATCGGGGCTGTGGCACGTGCGCAACAAGCCAGCGTCAAGCCGCCCCAACGTTGATGTTATAGAACTTGAAAATGACGTACCTTGAAGCACTGGGTGATGCAGCCAAACAAGCCCATCTTCACGGTTTCTCGGTTCTGTCGCTGAAATTGTCAAAATGAAGCTTGGTTGTGAGAGAGGGAGCACCGTGCGAAAACTCTGTGGGTAGATTTTCGCACGGTGCGTCTTATGGCAGATACCGCAATCCACACAGTGCAGTCTTACCAATGCACTGTGTCCCTACCACTTACACGCAGCCAGCAGCAGCCACAACAGCACAGAAACCGAACCAAAGTGAGTGATTGAAAACAAGACTCAATTCCTATCTGAAAAACAGCGAATAGGCCTTCATGCTCCTGAACACGGCTGGCCGGTATCCATCACCCCTTGCTCCCCATGCGGACGCCTCTTCCTACCGCCAAATGATCCACATGTCCATATGACTGACCACTACCACTCGAAAACGTACACTCGAAAAGGGGGGAAACTCGAAATTGTTGCCTGGCCAGAAGCTGGGCAAATTTGGGAGGGGTGATGTAATGTTTGTCGCGCCTATTTAGGCGGGGGAGGAGGTGGTCTCGGTTGCGGATGGTCCTTCTCGCGGTTGTTGACCAGCTCATTGACCTCAGCAGCGTGGCCGAGCTCGAAGGTGGTAGGGCTCTCAAAACGTGAGGCAGCCATGTTGCCGATGTGAAGTAGGTAGGTATTGGGACCTTTTTGGCAGGTTCTTGAGTGTTTGCTGGTTCTGATGAGCAAGGAAGGAGATACGATGTAGGTATGTGTGGATGTTTCGGTTGTATGATGTGCAGAGGCAGATGGCCAAGGAGTTGTGCTTGATGGTGAAGAGAGAGAGGTGCATTCCTGGGCCGGGGGACCGGCCTTCTTATACCCTCGAGTCTGCTCAAGTTGACAGGTTGCCGGAGTTGACAAACGCTTAGTTGACGTCAGTCACGGTGATTCACCCCTTCACTATTGTTGGATGAGAGCAGGACTCGTACGATACTATGAACTGATGCCAGATTCGTCTCGACATAGAAAATTACAACCCTGATAAGCTCATATTCCGAACCACCTCTTGATCAGCATGGACTCTAAAGTCGTATCACTTCTAGTGTCATGAGGCCATGCCAGGCCGGTACCCTCAGTGCGGTCCATGGATCGTCACCCACATCTTCACAAAGAGATGAGGCGAAAGGTGCGCAACAGCCCGCAGTTCACGCATCCAGCGCATGCAAACGGAAACCCTTTTTTTCCCCGCGCAGGGAGATAGCTTTGGGACACATTTCAAGTTGAAACTGGGAAGTTAACCAAACTTTCTCACGCGCCAGCTGAGTGTTCTCATCATCCCACTCCACCTCTCAATCTTCTCACTCTCCTCCTCTCAAGGCCGCAGCACCTTCAAACACAAACACCCCTCGTCCCTACCCAACTCAGCGGGACTCACCCTCTCACCCCTGAGTCATACCGCCCTCCACTCCACTCCCACCAACATCTCCACCCCCCTACCCAACCCTCCTCCCCACAACCACAACCCACAACTCCATCCACAACACATAAACACATCTCCCCTCATCCCCTCCCATCAATTCCTACTAAGGGACTCGGTTCGTTGGTCTAGCGGTATGATTCTCGCTTAGGGTAACTCCCTGAGTCCATCAGTTGGCAACAACTGACACACAAAAATGCGAGAGGTCCCGAGTTTAATCCCCGGACGAATCCCACCCATCTTTTTGCCTCTCCATACCCATACCACTACCACTCTCTCCCACTGCTTCGCATGTCTTTCACATGAAAGACACCCAACCGGGCAAGAAATCCCGGCTGGCCGGACGGACCGACCACAGCACCACACCGTCGGATCTCGGGACACCGACGCAGGACCCGTGTGCGCCGCTTGTAAAACAGACTTCGATGTTCCTCCCATCAAGAGATCCGGGCCAAGCAGACCGGAGTCGTCCACGTGGTATGTATCACCAAGTTCCGGCGTGTGAGATTGGACAGGACGCAGTGTAACAAGTGTAACGGACAAAGTCTGAACTGAACACCGTATATTGTATGGAGTACTTTACTTTGAACGTACGGACTCTCCAAGAAGGGAAGGGAAGGGGATCTAAGTGTCTTGGAGGGCTTCACCCAGCCAGTCCTTTCTGCCGTGGCAATCTGGCCTGGTGAGGAAGCCCCCTGACTTGGTGATAACATCCGTCAACTAGAATTGAATAACCTCTTGTAGAGCATCTATCTGCTGAACCTCTTCGTTTTTCCGTCCTCCTCTGATCATTGGTTAGCCTTGTGCAATATCGCATGTGTTTGAAACAGGTGGGACTCACTTATACGTATCCACTCCACCGCAGATCATATACCAGTCCCGGCGACTATGCCGGGGCGCCGGTAGCTTTACCGCTTGGCACTCCGCGCCATCCTCTTCCGATAGGGGTCGTTGAGCCGGGCGTTGGGGTTCGGGTCATGCTTGCGAATTTCGCATTCCCTGCAGTCTCCTGGCACCGGACGGTCGACATGATTGCCGCTGGCTCCGTAGCAGGTCCGCCCAAAGTTGATGCAGTTGTCGAACCTCGCAAAACTGCGGTGGCCGCAGCCCCAAACCCAGTCGATCTGCTGGCACATAGGGCCGGGATGTCGAGATACCGCAAGTCAACCCTGGAATGGCTGGTCTTGGAATGCTGTGGATATCCGATCCCTCAACGCTTGGCCTGGGACTTGGCTTCGAAACCTGGCCTTCCCCACGGGTTTGTTGGTTGCGGTGCCGGTTGGAGGAGGAAAGTGTCAGGGTGTCGTGGCTGGTGGCTCAGAAAGGGTTTCCTCTCCCTCTCGTTGTTTCTACTTGGTGTCCGCAGAGAGAACGGTAAGATCCGTGTTGAGAGTGAATGCTGGGTGTAGTAGTAGTCATGTAGGTAGGTAAAAGAGAACCGTCAATTCCCACGCGAGAACCAGCTGTCTAGTAACAGCGAGGGTTCATCGGCGCCGACACGTGGATCAACGAATTGCCGTACAGAGCATCGTCTGCTGCAAACATGTAGGTGAGGTTAATAGACTGTCACTTTTGGTGAAATGGAGGGGATAGAAAATAGCACGAGGTGGGTGTGGGTACAAGAGTCTTATAGAGAGGTGGAGTAGAAGGGGAAGGAAAGGGTTCAGTGTTGAATACTTTGAAGCAAACACACATATATGCGACCCCTTTCCTCGGCCCCGAGTCCAGGCCACTCACCATCCACACAACGGAAGCGGAACCACTCCCGGCACACGACAGCTGACTTTGACATGCTGCAGGCGGCTCACGAAAAGTGATGCCTCACATTTGTGCCTCCCTGGTCGCCTGTGGACCGCGCCCCAGTTCAGCTCAGGTAGAGAATGAAAGTGCTGGGTGCAAGAGGAACCTGGGAGTGTGATTGTGTGTAGCAATGCCATGCTGGAGAGATGGAAATCTCCATCCCCCGTCAACGAATCCCAGACCGGGGACCCTCTCACCGCCCTCGTGGCCGTAGTGGTGACACTGACGTACGACACCGCCCATGCCGACCCTGTCGAGGAACGTATCGGATGTTCAGGGACATGGCTTGCAGTCCCTACTCCCGAGTCTCTCTGTTGAGGTGTCTACTTAGCACCACAAACAAGGCTCGGGAGCCTCTCGGTCGTCGAGGGTGTGCCCTGGAAGTCAAAGACAAGGCGAATAAACGACATGCAATGTCTCGGGTATTGGCTGTGGGTTTGTTTGGAGTCGGAGAGTCCTCCCCGCCGCTGCAAACTGCAGTCAACGGGACGTCCACTGAGATGTTCCATGAGAGGTGTGCGTGCTGTGGCGTGCCGACGTGACGTGTAACAGGGCCAACGCCGGCGGGATCGTGCAGCTGATATCTTCTATCGATAGAGGGAAGGGATAGTTGGGTGTGCGACAGGCTTTGCCAAGATTTCTCAAGTTTGCAGCCATGCATGAGGATGGCAGGAAAACCGCAGTTTGCATGTGTTGGTTGAGCAGTTTGTCCTGCGAGGAGAGAGCTGAGAGACGACACGCTTGCGCCTGTCTGATGCTTTTGGACGTACCTTCGGCGGAGGAATTGTGCCCGTGTGGCGGGGAGCACCGGAGATGCGCTTTGTGGAGTGAAGAGCGTCGAATGATGGTCGGATGCTCTTGTCACACGTTGCGGAAGAGAATGAGACTTCAAGGGTGATCTCGATGCAAGCTTTCGACTCGCGAGAGGGCAGGGCTAGTCTGTGAGATCAAGAAAACCCTTCATGCATTCGGTGGAACCGAGAATACTCGAAAGCGAGGTAGAAATCGCGGGATGCAGGGTGTTGACGGTTTGTGACAAGCAAGGTGGGTGGCTTGAGGTGAGGAGGGGGGTGGAGGTGAGCTTGAGGTCCGGGGTGCTTTCCGTGGCGCTTTCCCTATTGGCGAACCGTGCATCTGATGGTTAGTTGCTACATGCCATGGCACGCATATCGGTGAGGTGACAGGATGTCATTACATGATTGCGGCCAATCCCAAATCTGGAGGCGGAATGCATTCCGGGCTCTGAGGTGGCAAACTCTCCTCAACCGAGCTAGATGAGAGGGTTGGGAAAGGCAAAACCGCAGCTGGGTGTTTGGTAGGTCAAACTGAATCGAGCTCTGGAAGGTGCAAGACACGACCGCGAGATGTTCCAGGAGGAAGGATCATTGCCAAGGAGTGGGAAGGTGCAACCCGCAGATACGGTGCGCCGCATATTCACTTCTGTGTAAGCCGGTGCAACGACCACTGCTGTCTTGTGAGACGGAACATGTACCCCGTCACACATATTTAGCTGATGGTTAACTTGCAAGCCCTGCGACGCGAGCGGAGCCGCCGAGAAGTCCCCGTCGCCAGCCCCAGGATGAATGGTTGCTAGTCGCGTCGACAGCGAGCGAGCAATCCGTAGCAAAGCCGGAGCTGCTGAAATATTGAGTCGCATTTCCCCGCAGAGGGCTTCCGCCCATCCATCTATCCTACACATACATGTCTCGGGATTTGGTATGTACATACAGTGTTGTTACAGAAGGGAGCACCGTTTAGTGGCTTGCTGGCCGCTTGGCACTCTGAAGGAGCCTCTTTTGTACCAGGGCCAACGTGCCTTTTGGTATGCGCAGGCGTTGGCCAAGCACCAACACGCCCGTGAGGAGCGCAAGAGCGCCAGCCTGGTGGGCCGCGGCCAAGGGTATCGGAACGATATAGATGAGGGTGCTGATGCCAAGCGCCAGCTGCAGGGAGACAAGGTGAACAAGTCCAGTTACGCCCTTCCGGACGTCCTTGGGCATTGCCGCCTTCAACCGACCTGTTCGGCTGTAGGCAAAGAGGGTGAGAATAGCGGTGAGGGTCGTCATGGCTAGGATGCGGTGATCCAGCTGAACCATAGACGGGTTCTCAAGCATGTTGCGCCACCACAGATCCGAACCGTCCTCCTTGCGGCAGTAGAACTTGTCCATCAACTCCGAGTTCGGCGGCTTGTAGCCGACGCCCATCTTCGGGAACTCGTTGTAGATGAGACCTGCGTCGAGCCCAGCCACCAAGGCACCAGACAGAACCGTAGTGAAGATCAAGACGGTCAGAGCAGCAACGGATCCACGGAGCACCTTGAGCGCGGGTGACTGCAGCTTCTTGAAAGCCTGGACCGCGGCGGAGGGGTTTTGCAGTGCCCGGTTGGTGCGAAGAACGCCGAGCCCAGCCATGAGCATCCACGAATAACAAACGAAGGCGGTCGCGAGATGTGCTGCCAGCCGGTATTGGCTAACGCGGGGGTGAGAGCCGGGAGCGAAGAGATCATCCTTGAGACCTGACTTGACCATCCACCACCCAATGAAGCCCTGGAAGCCGATAAGAGCAGAGATGCCGACGAGGGTTCGAGCCATGCGAGGTGTCACGCGGCGGCGAGCAACAAAGTAGACGGTTGGAATCACGAATGTTAGGCCAATGAAGCGACCCCAGAGGCGATGTGTCCACTCCATAAAATAGATCTTCTTGAATTCGGCCAAGTCCATGTGCGGGTTGATGAGCTTGTACTCGGGCGAGGCGCGATACTTCTCGAACTCGGATTCCCAGTCGGCTTGAGAGAGGGGCGGCAGAGAGCCCGTGACGGGCCTCCATTCTGTGATGCTGAGGCTGTAACACACTGGTTTAGCTATCAACCCCTTGGGCGCCTAGATCGCTGGGACACGAACCCTGACTCTGTCAACCGCGTCAGGCCACCGAAGACGACGATACCAAAGACACTGACGGCGCTGCCAAGAAGCCAATAGGCGACAGATTTGGGATTCTGTTCGGGCCATGATGACTGCTTCGCCGAACTGGCGGGCTCATCTCTCGGGGTCGAGTTTTGCGCATTGGCTTTGGGGAGCTGGCTAGCGATGGAAGGGGTGGAAGGGGTGGAAGGGGTGGAATAGGTTCGGGCAGCTGTTGCGGCGCACGCAAGTTTGAGGATCCTGGAGGGCGGGAAAGAGGGCTTCTGCAGTCGGAGGCATTGGCCGCGGACAATTGCCGGGCGAGACAGCTGGGCAGCTGCCCTGCGCAGCCCAACTTGGAAGAAGGTCATTTTTGCCAAACAATGGCGCTCATCACGACCTGGAGCTGGGTTGGAAAGCTTGCGGCTTTGGTTTGAGATCGATGGGATGTCTCGAAAAATGTCAGCCCACTTTTCGACCGAGCATGGCTTGGCAACGTTCCCCAAACAGACTTGCGGTGATTGGCTAGAATT